ATGAAATTGACAGTGGGCGGGGTTACCCGCTGGGCGGGGCTACCCGACTCTCCCCTATATATATATTCGATACGATTCTTATTCTTTCGTTGAAATTCGTCCCACTAATCCCGTATATAGCGAGAGATAGAGTAAAATAAAATAAATATGGATGATTTGTTATACTCATTTAAGGTTAAATATCCGTAATATATTTATATTTTTTTCTTCATATTATTTAGGTGTCTTTTCGTGAAACGCAAGTGAATTGTGGGAGTAATATTTCTGTAATAAATACCACAGATACCCCAATAGTAGCTTTTAACGCTGCAGACCAATGCAAGAAATATGCAACTGTTATTATGGTTGGTAAGTTAATCTCACTAACCGGCAAAAATGTTATATTTTCTTAGCATTCTTGTGATGTAATACACTATGGACAAAAGTCAAGTGAACTTTTATTATATTATTGTAAATTTCTAAAGAAATACTACACCTTCAAGAAAAAATTGCTTCATTATCGAACCATTATATTAGTATTTTAAACCGTACCCGAAAAATTTTAAATAGCGTTTATGTTATGCTAATTACACATGACAACATCAATCTTATTTTCACATAACACCAATTCCTATGTTCTCATAAGAAATAATAGATCTTGTGTTCTGCTGCTCAAATTGTGTTGGCGGGAAGACATATGCATATAAACGTGCCAATATGAGATATTCTATTGAGCCGCGTCTTTATATTAGTTCAACGAACTCTGTAAAAAATCTTTATCAAATTACGGTAAGAATGACTAGCACACTGCAATAGCATCTGTGAAATCCGTTTTAATTGAAAAATTTTATAGCCTAATTTTTCTTACAGTAATATTTATAATTCAGTAAATATTACAGCAAAAAAGACCAGATATTTTGTTCCGTAAAATTTTACTATTAAAGTGGTAAAACATACTGGCACCCTACCTTCTTAACAGTAATTTTGTATGGAATTTCTTACAGTTCACTGGGTAAACAATTTTAGGGGTAATTTTCGACAAAGACTAGTCTTTGTCGACTTTAGATGGTTTTAATAAGGGCTTAATAAGTTCGCAAAGTATTACAGTTTAAAGCACACCAAAACTATTAAGAGTGATAATGGAATATTTTACAACGTTATATGATCTATGTATAAATAAATGGTAAAAATTAATGATCAATTTAATATGATGCAATTAATGATTAATTAGTTACTAATTAACGTAATGATTGATAATTTTTAATAAAGATTTAGTCAAATACAGTGTTAGGGACATGGATTCAAATAAAGAACATATGATTTGAATGCCTTGCAATGTTAAAGAGTGTTAAATAATTATATCATTTAACTGTTCAAAAATTTATCATGTTTTCAAGTTGAGCTATGTAATCATAATTTTTAAACTTACTTACACTATGGTTTTGTTCACCATAAACAGAAGCATGGTTCAATTTCGCACCCATTAAAATTAAAGCAATTTTGCACCATATCATGATTCAAGGCAGAATCGAATTTTGTGAAAGTGTATTACCTATTAAAAATATCAATTAATATGCAGTTTTTTACAGGTTTTTCTAAATATAAGTAGCATGAACATGCATATTTTCCTAAAAGTTAGTAAAATGATAAAAAATAGAAAATTTTATGCTGTTTTTCAATATATCTCAGAGTTTCTGAAGGTGTATTTCATAAAAAAAAATTTGTTTAAAAATCTCTTTTTATATTGCACTCATACTTGCCATAACAAAACAAAACAACTTGAAACGTCTATATTTATGTTCTTGTTTCATGTTTTTTTGCTTTAGATTTGGATTCATTTGTTATTGGACCATTTCTTCACTGGGCGGTGCACAATATACCGGTTAATGTTTTAGCACGCGGTTACCATGGAGACGATAAAGGTTACATGGAGTTCCCATGGAAGCAATTTTTGCCTCTAAGTCCAACTGGTATGAATAAAATTATTTACAAAATAAAACTGCAAATTAAAACTGCTGTCTCGTTATTGTATAGACATTCTTAACTAGCAAAAGCATATAAACCGCATAAAGTTAAAAATCTTTGAGGTTTTTTCTATTGCCTGAAAAGATGCAAATAAATCATTTTTAAAATGGGCTGAAAAATAATATTCTTGACTCAATTAGAACAAAAGATAAGACTTCTGTTGACTCTTTCCTATATTTAGCCTCTGCTAAATGATTAGATAGCTTTTTTCATGAATGATAAATTTTTTTCTGACAGTTTTAAAACGATATATCTGAAAAACCTAGTAAAGAAAGCAGCAATTTTGTAATGTAATATTTAAGATGCTTTGTTACCTTACCTTCAGGAAATTCCTAAAAACATTTAGACATTGTTTTATAATTTATTTTGAAGTTTATATATTAATTATAAACTAGGAGGCTCCGCCCCCTGCTCGCTAACGCTCACCAACCCCCGAGAATTGCTACGCAATCCTATGTGGTTCACGCAGTGAACAATGACTCGCTGCGCTCGCTCGCCAATGAACACAATGTTCTAGCACAAAGACATAATATATTATCATCAAAGACATAGTATTTTATCATCAAAGACATAGTATTGTACTTATGTAGAAGAATTCTATCAATGTTCTTATTGGCTTTTAAAAAAAGTATATTAGCTATTTAGATTGTACATGGTGAAAAAATCAAAACATTAGCTAAATAAGAAACATATTAGCAAAATAAATTATCAAATATTGCTTCATTAATATTCAGCATTTTAAAGCGTGAAAATTCAATGTGTAAATAAACGCGAAATATAAAAAAAAATTTATGCATTCAATACAAACACTTAAACGTTTTTCAGACGTTTAGGTAGCTCCCAGTAGAAAAATATCAATTCAGCAGCGGCCTTTTAAAGCATTCTCACTTCAATTAATTAATTAATTCCTAATTGAGTTTAAATTAAATATTGTCATGTTTTTAGTGCATGAATCTGAATTGAACAACCTGATAATGCTCACTCTGGTTATTGTTATCTGGTTGCTCACTACGTGCTCTTGCGCGCCGAATCCAATCAATTAAAAATGAAAACTGTTGCCAGCGCGAGAAAAGAAATATCATCGGTTTTATTGATACATACATACATACGCACGTATTAGCGTTTTATATAATATAGATGTTTTTAAATATTATTAACAGATAATAATGTTGGAAAATTAATAAAAAAATTAATTAAATAAAATTTTATAAAATTTTTTTTAATCAAAATTTAAAGATTTCAATTATAACAAATATAGTTTTGGAAAGTTTTTAAAATTTAAAAATTTTTTAAAAATGTTTCATAGAACATTTTTGAGATTTTAGATTTTATTGTATGCTTATTGAATTGCACAAAAGCATTAAAGATTCAAAGTAATATATGCAAATTTTTATGCTTTAAAATTTTACGAGTCGGACTATAAGAAGGTAGGAAAAATAATATAATCTTTCATATAAAGCAGGCTTGTGCTTTACGTTTCTTAACAGTTAAGTGGAGTAAAATTAGACAATACAATCCTTCTAGGTTTTCGGGCAATTTCTTATAATAATATAAATCGGTATTTTTACACGTGGAAGTTTTTGTAAATACGCTCTTTTATCACTTGTGTAAATAAATAAATGTATGCAAGGTAATGATCCAAACAAGGTAATTTTTAACCGTTCTAATTATTTACATTTTTATTTCAACAAATAAAAATATAAAAGTTTTTCAAGATGTTCTTGCAAAGGCGTAACTTGGAGAGAAAATGAGAAATAAATTTAAAGCATCAGTTAGTAGTAAAAATGGACAGTGACCAAGTGTGAAACCAAGGGTTCAAAGGGATGACCGCAAATATGCTCGTTAATTAGTGCAGACGATATTTTATTTTAATATTTTAAGTTTTTATTTTGTTAAGTTATTAATTACAATTAAAGTTATTATTATATTGCGTCATTATTTATACTTAAGTTTATCATTATATCAAGTTATTATTTATGTTTAGGGTCATAATTTTTTTATTATTTTATTTAATAATAGTTTCAATTTTTATATCATTTAAAAGTACGTAAATTAACGTGGCAAAATATAAAACATTTGAGCTAAATTGGTCTAATAGTTTCTGAGAAATCGAATTCTAAAAAAGTTGTATATTTAAAATTCAATTTCTCAGGAACTATTTAACCGATTTCGCTCAAATTTTGGATTTTGACATATAAAGTTAAATACTCTTAAATTGATGTAAAAATGTATACCTTTGTATTCAAGAATTTTTCTACTACTATTAAATGAAGTAATAAATATTTACTAAAATTCATTTTTTGTATGCAAACATCTGTGGATAAAGGAATTTTATAATTGTATGCCAAAATTTTTCAAGTCACTTAAAACGTTCTCGAGATATGGCGAAATACGCAAAAAGTAAAATTAACATTAAGGGTATCCAAACTTAGGACGGCTCTGGTGACCAAACTATGGGAACCCTATCTCTCAAACAGCGACTACCCCTTATATTTTGGGAGTCAAAAACCCGAATCCGTTGGAGAAAAAAAAGGAATGTTTCAGAGGAAGTACATTTTTGTGTCTGATTTCGCAAATCAAAAAAATCGTCTGCACTAATTAATTGGTATATTTGAGGTCACCCTCTCGAACCGTTAAGAGTGAGTCCTAGAACTTTGAGAACCGATCATTAGATTGAAAGTTATTCAGGGTGGTCCTTTTATTGCACACTGTATGTAAGGTCACTGTATAAAAGTGTAAAAAATATATAACTGTATGAAAGTTTCACTGCATAATATCAATGTGTAAAAATTTATAAGTGTCAGATTAATTTGAAAAAACTGGAGCCTTTGCTGGACAATAAGCCTTATGCATTGTTAAATGATGACGTCTGATAAATAAGAGCATCTGATAAATTTTGGTAAATGTGCATTGTGAACTATTCTCATTTTCGTAAATGTGCATTTTGAGTTATGTCCATTCTTGTAAATCTACATTTTGAGTTAAGTCTAATTTTGTAAACATGTATTTTGAACTGTATTCCATTTAAACACATAGTTTGATCTATGTCCATTTTTGTAAACATGCATTTTGTGCTGTGTTCAAAATGAAACGCTCACCGACGAAATGTGTAAACGAATGCTTATGAAATTAAGTTTGCTCAATATGTTTTTCAGGTACTCATCGATACACATTCTTTACATTTTGCCAAGATAATGAAGTTCCAGTGCAAGAACCTCCAAGAAATCTTATTTCGAATTTCTTTGCTAGAATATTTTTCGACATCGAGGAATTCCAGAAGTCGCACAGCTTGGGAGACCCCGTAGCATGCAATTTTTTTAAACAAACGCTAGTTGGAAATATAGGTCTATTTTCATTGTTTTAAAACTGATTGACAAAAAAAACTTTGCATATGAACTGTAACATTGCTTTTCATAAAATATTTCTTAACTCAATAAGAAAAGTTTTTTTTCTTCATAATTTTGTGTTACTTTTTCTGTTTTTAGATTATTTTTATATTTTGCATTAATTAACATAGCTTAGAAATTTTCGAAATTTTTTTCCAAAATAAATAGAACTGTTTTATTTCAATAAAATACTAAGCAAATGCAAAGGAAAATACTATTTCTCTCAAAAAATATTTAGCTCTTCTGTTGTTATTAGTGTTAATTCAAACTAATTATTTAAAAATAATTAAACAAACGTGTATTTTATGTTAAGAGAATAAATCTCATAAAAGAATTAAAATATTTCTTTTCATTAGAATTAATATTGAAAAATGATTTTTAAGTAGGTAAATGAGAATAATTTTTGCTTACGTAAATGAATTTTTTTTATAAAATTAAATGATTAAGGACTATGGTTTTACTTAGTTTCAATTATATATTTTACGTAAGCAAATGATAGATTTCGATATACATAGAATCTTATAAATTTGTAACTGGCAAGCTTTGTGACAGAAGTTGTCAAATGTCAAGACCGAGAAGAAAAAAAAAACTCTACGATACTGACTTATACAAATCCAAGAAAGAGCTGCACGAACGTGTGTTAAATTAAATTTAAAATAAAAAAACATGAATTAAAAATATTTTCTTTATTCATATGTAATAGCTTAGGCAATCTTTAGGGAAGCATTTGGTTAGAATAGAAACATTTAAATTACTTTGCTCAAGAAAAAAATAAAATAGAAATTCACCACATTTTGAATGCCAGGAAAATGATATATTAGCTCAGAAGTTTGAAAAAAACAGTCATTTTCAGCTATTAGTAAGAAACAAAACCTAAGCCTTTATGTTAGATGGACCATGAATAACTTAAATTAATTCTGTTATCTACTGTAGAAGGAATTAAAAAAATTTTGTTGCTGATATGTACAGAATAAAATTGTGTAAAATAATCAATCATTAAATAAACAAATAACTTTGATTACAGTCAATCTTATTACAATCATAAATAAACTTGGTGTTAGGTTAATATTAGATTTCCCTCTTCACAGTATTAGCAGTTAGTTAAAAAAATTTCTGGTAACACTTCAATGTCCTGGCATTCATTAGTCAGGAAAATGACAGCCAGGATAATGACAAATTCGCCATTTTATAGCATATAACTTTAATTTAATATTTTGACCTAAGACGTTTATATTCTGCAGGAAACAACAGGATTTCTTAAAATAACTCAGATAAATCTATGCAGTTTATGTTATTAATAATTTCGAGAAGACAGGAAAATGACAACACAGAAACCTACTCACCTTGAAAAAATTTTTGATACAGATTTTGAACCTAAAAGTTGGTTCTTTATTCATGCAATAAAACATGTTCAGATAGGAGGGAACCTAATCAATCTATTAACATAAGGTATTGATTGCTGGCTCTATCTATTTTGGTCATAAACCACTAAATAAAAATAGCCAGGAAAATGAGAGATTTTCTTGTGACAAACAAATTATTGACAGAAAAAAAAATTTTAAACGAAGTTTTTGTAAATAATACCCTCTGCGTTTGTTCTAGAAATGCTTACACCGTGTGAGATAAAAAGAAATTAGGTACTGAAAAATTTGTGGGAAGTTTTGAAGCTAGTTATTATTGGAAACATTGTTTGTGAAATGCCAGAAACATGAAATTTTGAAGTTCAATTAAATTTTTTAAATGTACAAAACAGTCGATGCTAGTACTAGGTTATTTTAAAGTGCTGACAGCAATGCTATTTATTAAATTTATATATATATNGTAATCTTTATTTGCCAAGGAATAAATATTGAAATTTAGTTTAGCGTCGAGAGCAGTTTGCAGATAAAAGAAATTTGTAATGTCTTTATTGTTTACTGGATCACCCAAAGTTCATTCAATACCTCGCCATGTATTGGTTCAAAAGGTTTGTATATGTCCAATGTGTTCCACTTCTAAATATGTTATGAAAATATTTACCCCGACCTGCCCCAATTCAGGGCATACGGGTAAATGTTTATTAAAACCAAGTAAAAACAGAAAAGAACATAAAAAGCAAAAAGTGCATAAAATACAAGAGTCATATGCCAACAGCTGGGAGGGCCGCCATATAGTGCTTAAAGCCGACGGCCCACCCTTATACTGAGCCAAATTACAATAGTATTGAAGACCCCAACAAAGTTACAGAGAATACAGTATGTGTTACAATACATAATTAGTAGTTACAAGATATAAACATCTAAAATAAAACAAGACAATTAAAAATATGAATACAATTAAAAAAAAAACTTTCTTCTTTTTTTTCCTTTCCCGTCTATTTTTGTTGATAAAAACGCTAAAAGCGAATATACAAGTGAGTAAAAACATCAAGATGAATTAAAATTAGTGTTGAGGTGATAGAACAGAAGACATACGGAGTCCCCCAGGATGCTCAAGTTTGAAAAATATAAAAGGGGAATGACGCGTTAAAATAGAAGTGGATTGGCAATTATGTATATACTGTCATGAGACAATAAGACTGGAGGGCAAAACCTGACATTTGTCAATCACGCCAGAAGGTATATAAGCAAGTTTTAAGCCTGGTAGACGCGACAAGAAATAATTAAAATAATCCAAAAATAATTTTTTCCAATACCAGTTATTTCAAAATTTTCACTCTCCTTTCGCTTATGCATCACCTGTAGACTAAGTTTTCAGCCGTGAAACTCTTCCATTTTAAAATTTGCAGGGCTTGATTATAATTATGGCCCATTATGCCTTGATCTTAGGAGATTAAAAATTATTTTAAAATGTATTTAATTATACTTAAGAAATTTTTCAGATGTTTTGTAATAATTAAAAACTATTTGCACTCTTTCCTTGAATATTAATTTTCGGAATGTAATTTAAAACCAAGTAAATTATTAAATGTGAATTTCAATTTCTAAGAGTGCAATTTTGTCTCTTTTGCATTGAAGTGTTTTTTAGGAGAATCATAATTGATAACATAAAAGCTTTTAAGTTGATTCAATTTTACTTGACTTAAGAAGACTTGAACTATTTTTATGTTGGTGCTCTATGTTTAACTTTTTTTCTAATTTGAAAGATTGACTAAAACTTATTAGATGGTAAAAACGCAAGAGGAAATCAACAATAACCGTTTTTTCCATGCTTACCCTGTCGTTGCGTTTTTCATTTATTTATTTATTCTTATTAAAATAGGATCAGATTTTGTGAGTTTTTTTATTAAATATTTCAAGTCTACATATATTTTAAAATTCAAAAATATTTTTATCTCAACGAGTTTTTCTTTTTTTTTTCAATATAGAATTTGATCATCAAAAAAGTTTTGCTGAAAAATTGAAAAAAAAGAAAAATAGTCTAAAAGAAAAATTTCAGAAACAAATATTGATAAAATTATGATTTGTTTTCATAAAATACAAAGATAAAACGTTTATGAAAATTTGTAAAATACTTACAAAACGTTTATTTAGAAGGAAATTTTAGCATGATAAACTTCGTAACAAGGCCTGGAGGAGATTCCTAACATCACAGATGTAAATTTGATGTAAAAAAAACATCAAATTTGCCTTTCTTTGCGACTGTTTTCTATTTTTTGGGCGCAACAAACAGAAAACTTTGAGGAGAGTTCACAAAATAATGCCAACTTGCTTGTATATTTCACAGAGATATGGACAACTAATGCCCTTTGTTAACCCAGAGAAAATCCAATAAACATCTCAAAAAAGCCAAACCGAAGCCATAAACGAGAAAAGAACGGGTTACGCAGTTAAATAGTTCCAAAAAAGTGCATCCCCACAAAAGTAACGGAATGCACAAATTTTGATATTTCTGCGTTGCCTGTGGAAATCGAAGGATAAGCAACGAGAGGGTAAAGACTAAATTGGATAATTTTAAATCATAGTAGGTTAATTTCAAAATATTTTGAAAAGTTGCGGGGCGATTTAATGGACCTAGAAACCATATTCGTCGCAGCCCGTTCATGCCCATTCGTTGAATACAGCTATAAATAAATTTCTTTAAAAACAAATCCTTTTAAAAAAATCCTCAAGCCTACTTTTGTAATTTTATTAACAATCAATGCCCCAGCATTTATTACAATAAAGGAATTGGCTTGAAATTTTATTACGAAGCTACTTCTTCCTTCTTTTTTATCTTATCAAAACCATCAATTTTTGGAATCTGAAAAACAATACAATCGGTGAAGTTCATGGAAACGAAGTTCGTGATTTAAGGTTTAAATAGTCACGAAAAAAAAACCTCGATCGAGGTGCTTAGATAGTTTAATATGCTCTCATTATAACTCATTGGACAAATCTAAAAAATCTTTTGCTCTGATAAATCCATAAAACAGAGATAACTTCGTGTTTTTCGGATGAAATAATGTTGATGAATTGAAGTACGACTTTTTGCAGCAATGATACCATGAGTCACTACACCATTATGTACTCGAGATTCATAATTGTGCTTCTATTACCAATTTCTGGCATCTTCGCTCGAGCTTGTGATAGAGAATTAATTCGATATGATATTGTCCCGGAAGTAGTCAATTCATGTAAAGGCAAATTACGAGTAATAAAACTATTATTATTATTGTTTTAATATTATAAGTGTATGTTTTAATGATTTTATTGTTCTCAAACTTGAATTAATTAATATGAGATGTTTTATGTTAAATATTACTAGAAATGAGAATCTTATGCAAGTTAACAAACGACAGTTTTATTATATATTCTAATAAAAATAAAATAACAATAACTTTATTATATACTTCAGCTCATTCATATATATTCCAACAAGTTCATTTGGAAATCGCTACTCGCTTTGCATTTACATTTGGCATTTTGATCTGTAGTTTTCTTGCATTTTATTTACTATTTTTCTCTTGATATATTTCATTTCGTATATGTTCCATTTTCGTTAAATTTTTTTTTTGATTATTCCTCACAGTGTTGTATTAATATATTTTGTTGGCTTGACTACATTTATTGAATATTAGAAAGTAAGCACTCAATAGAAAGTAATATATATATATATATATATATATATATATATTGACT